CAAATTTATTTGTTAATAGTAAATATTAACGTAAGATTATCCGCATTTATAACGGATATTTTCAAATCCGTGTATTGACCATTTGGCAACCGCCTAATGCTCTTCCCACCATGAATGTGCTTGCTCCACAAACAAGCTAATGCTTGCTCTACCATGGAGGGTGGACGATTGGTCTTCTTCAACACTGGCTGCTATATATATGTGCAGCAGCTGTTGAAGAAAGACACACATAATACACAAGACCAACAAACTGAAAATCGCTCAACAGATTTGGCTATACATTGCACTCCTTCCTCTCAGCATTTCCATACGATTTTCTGAGTTTCTACTCCTTCGTTCTGCATTGTTTTAACTTCAAACAAAGCAACTGTAAGTGTGATTTGCTACCGAACTTTGTGTTCGTTGAAACACTGGGGTTTGAAGTACCGCTACACCAGTGTGTGATTCGTTCTATCCTGGGAGGAAATAATCCATTACCTTAGGGAATGCATACAATAAGCAAATATGTGACTGAAGTTGACGGAGAAAATGATGAGTTAATATGAAGGTAGGAACAACTGAAGATAAAGAAGCTCGCTCGATTGAAATGACCCTGCTCGGGTAATAATTTAATGTTCTCTTGATTGATATTATCTTCTTTTGATATGATATTAGGGAGTAGTTTATAGTCCTTATTTGGTTTAACTAGGTTTTTGTTATGAAGTTCAAACATATGGATTGCTCGACTCCTTCTTTCTCGGTTATTTCAAACTAGCTTGTGTTAACATGGATTTGGGTAGAGTAAAGGTACCTTCTTTGTTCTTTTTTCTTCTTTGCAATATGGAAATTTGAATTTTCCCTAGAAAGGTGTCAAATGGAACTTTTATTTTTTATATGGTAATTATAATTGCTTAAACTTATCCTATATACATAAATTTTAACCTGCAGCCTGTTGAATTGTTTGGGAGATTTATTTCATTCAGTTTTCCTTGATCATTTACTGGGTTTGTTTTAATGTGTATGAAGAATGTTTGGAATAACAATTTGTGCATTTTTTGATACTAAAGTATATTGTTAAGAGATTGTGCCGAGCATTCAATTGTGAACATAAAAGTAGCTATGAATAGGTGCAGCCGAAAAAAAAGAAGCTATGAACTGGGGCTTTGCATAGAAGTCTTGATTAGCTTTGAAATTCATTTGTTCAACTTGCAGATAGGGAGTTTCAGGCAGAAAGTTTTTCTTTTCCAGTTGAACTTGCAAAATAAAATAAATAAAAGATGGTCAGAATATATGGGAGACGACTGTAAGTTCATGCATTTGTTTAACATGTAAGATAGTGATAGATGTTATTTATCCTGAGACCATAAAATTTATCTGTACCGTACTTTAGTCATAATGTGCACTGTATCTCAATCCATCATCGGAAAAATGTGAACTGCACCTCGATTTGATCATAAGGGCAGTTTGATTTGCATCATAGATCTCTAACTAATGTGATGTATAGAACCTTTTTGGTATACATCTTTGCATAACTAATGTATTATGTATTTTTCAGTATTAAACTCCTCATAATTTTTGAGGAAGTCAAATGTAAAATATTAACATATGGGCGATCTCATGGGGGACATTTGTTTGCATTGTTATTGTTTTCTTTTCTTATTTGTTGTTCCTTTCTTTCTTTCGTTTTTTTTTGGGGGTTTTGAAGTTCCAAGCTATGCAAATTATCCTAGGAACATTCTCAGTGTATGATTGTCCTGGTGCAAGTCTGGGCAAATAAGCTGGTGGAGAAATAATTGGGGTTAAAAAGGGACAGGTATACCGATCTTTTTACGGATGCTAACAAAAGGTATTTATTCGTTCATAATGATAGTTAAAATATCTATCTATCTATCTGAAATTTGATACAACTTTATTACTTTAAATGTTTATCTATGAATTGGATTCTGTTTGGTTCGATTCGAGTTACGATTAGATAAGCCAATATTCCATTATGGACTAGCATTCTTCTACAACTGTTTGGTCGTTAACCCAATAAATTCTCAGTAATAATGAGAAATTACGTACTTGTGAAATTAGTCGGCTTAGGTGACGATATTGTTCTGCTTTTTCCCTGAGTCAAGTATCTTTGACTGATTCTTGCACTTTTCGCTGATCAAAGGTGAAAACTTATTGACAAACCTTTTTTGAAATATATTTTGCTTCTTCTCCTTTTTTCCTTATGCTCCTCTATTATGTGTTTCATAGTTTATATGTCTTTCATTATATCTCCCATGATTTTCTTTTTAAAGTTTCTTCTATTATATTATGCAGATTTTAAAAAACTTGCGACGGGGTTTTCGAAAGAACATCAAACCAAGTAGATTTGAGGTTTATTCCAGACTCCGTGGAATTCAAGCATCAACCACGTCACATTGCAACAGAGGTAATTTATGGCATCATTTTGTCATCACGAGCGCCTTTAGTTTTACGGTTATTAGTGGCTGAATAGATAAAATCTAAATCACATTTGCGTTTGAAGTGCTTACTGGTTGTTATTGAGTATATTATAGTTTTGACATGTTGAGTTCTGCTTGTTTACTTTTTCCTCAAATGAGGAAAAATGTGATCTTATAGAAGTTTGTAGCCTTCTGTTTTCCCTCATCAAAATCATAGCTTCGCCTGTTTAAGATTTAACTTGTGATTTATTCATCAGCTATTATAGGTAAGTTGTAAAGGATTAAACAACTAATTCTTGTTTTTTCCATTGGAATTGCATTGTCAAAAACATCATGGTCTAATAAATCCCAGATCCAAGTATACGCCAAAATTATAAACTTTATTTGTTCAGTGCATTTTATGACATATCAAACTGATCATAATTACAATAAGAAATTGTTCAGCAAATCTCCGATTGATTAGTGAAAAACATAGGAGCACATTGAAAACGTATTTCGTTGATGGCAACTCTGTTCACAGTTGTTCGATTTTGGATTTGTTTCCATTCAGTTAAGTTAATTTATGAAACATTGTCATCTGTCATACTTTATTCTGTAAAATTGTAAGACTTGGCTTTGAGATACTTACTGAAATTACATGAAATGCATGTGAATTTAAAATGCAAACTTTGCTCATGAAGAGTTGATGAAAAAAAAAAACAGTGGAAGTCTATTAGTTTCTTATTGATTTTTGTGAACAGAAGGAACTTCTGAGGTTTTGAAATCTGTGCGTGCCTATCATTCACATCTTTCACCTTGATATTTTTGCAATATGACTGCAAATGATTTAGAAGTACTGTTATGTACTGCAAGGTGTTATAGAATCATCATGGAGAATTACCTGACAGAATTGCCACATTTCTAGATTGTCTCAACTCTCAAGGATGTTGGCATGCATATAGTAGCATTTTCTCTCAGAGATAGCAGCAAATGTCCGTTTCGAACTTTCTTAGCATCGTAGAAGATTTGGATAGATTGTTCCGACATGTACCATGCTGACACATTTAGATCACATAATGCTTAGTATCTGAGCAGAACAAACTGTAATAGCATTTAGGTCTTGACTTTGGGTCCTTGCAGACATTTCTCTTTAAGCAACACAATGTAAGAAATGATATAGCTATTCGTATTTTACTTCAAGGAAAAGCAATGCAGTTGCAGAGACATGATACAGTTTTTGGCTCCATTAGGACTGATAAATTTTGCTACCGCTGTCTGCTATCCACTGACGATTGCTGCCTCAGCTGTGTATGCTGGTTGATACACCTCAACCACCATCATTCGAATACTGATTTGGGAATGAGACTTTAAATTTTACCCTATGGACAAAAGATTTATTACCGTTCATAAAGAAAACTTGTTTGTAATGACAACAGTCTACTGTTTGGATGCACAACTTATTCTTCTCCTCCATTTTGGGCTACTGTGTTTTCTTTTGTTGATACAACCAGAGTCTTGCAACTTCTAGAAGGCATAAGCTGCCTATAGGATTCATGAGATGTGATTATTTATCATGGCGGTTGAACTCCCGTGCAAAAACAGTCATTATATTTTGGTACTATACTTCAGTAAGTATTTATCAAATATCTGTCACTTCGGACTATTGCAGATGTTCTTATAGAGTAAAAGTTCAAGCTTAACAGCTTGACTTGGCTCATATTTGGTTATTGTGGTATGTTGTTGCTTCTTTTATTTTTCTTATTGTTGCTTTTTATAACATCATCTCTAAACAACTATTGGGCTCGGGCTTAGTTCGGGCAACACCCCCTACTAGTATTAGTATAAAAGTTATACTGATATTAGCTGATACATGTAACACCAAATTTTATATCGAGATTAGTGTTCCAATCTCGGTAAGCAATCAACCCCTAAAAGGTCCTATGATTTGTGAGCACACAAACAAGTTATACTACACTTATAATACGAGGATTATACTACAAAGATTGAACAATAACAAGATTATTTAGCGAATATACTCTATTAGTAGATGTTTAGTTCACTTATTAAAAATAGGATATATGGGGTATAATATAAAACATGTGTTTTGTTTAAACTAGATAAACTTTGGATAAATTTTATTCAGTTTTAACTATGGTCAAATACTTTGACTTCAATCAGGGACACATTCGCTTATATGCCTTTTCAAGTGGTCACAGAACATCGCATCACACGCATCTCTGCTACTCAATATCGTCTATATACAGTTCTAAATGGGAAGCTGTTAGGTTCTTGGTGCCCAACAGAAGGTACAAGAGCTGGATTACAATCCCCTTCTTCTCCAGCATCTCATTGCTCACCAACCTCCCTCCCCTCCCCACCCCACCCCTCAAAGGCTCAAACACCATAAAACACCCTCTTTCCATTTTTTCCTCCTCTTCAAACAACAATCTTTCATGGAAAAATAACGCCCGCAATATCAAGATTGGTGTTCCAGCCGAGTATAAAGCCGCTCAGATGTGAGCCCCTGTGCTATTTTCCCCTCAGACACATTCCTGTTCTGAAATTTTTGGCAAGATCTCGAATCAAGCAGCAGATGATATTCAGTTAGGTGATCCAGCAGCTGACTTTAGTCAGATACACCATCCCACAGCATGTGTTGCACATTGGAATCTCAGCCATTCAATAACCAAGACGATCATTCAGTGAGGTTCGTCCATCACCTGATTGCCCTGGTAAAAAGTGTCGCAAGCACAAGTAAAATTGCCAAAAACTCAAACATCCATTAGTAAGCAACTAAGCTAGGCATGAAGAGAGGTGACTTACCTTCAGGAGGAACCCAAGAATCATAGTCGGTCTCACTCTTGAGAAACGATGGTCTCTCTGGACCAAGAACCTTCTTGTGCTTCTTCTTATCGTTCCTGATTTGACTTTCGCGGGATACATCCTGTCCACTATGTTCCACCTCATCATCAGAAACGTGGTATCTTTGAGAATGTCTCAACAGCAGAGCAACCGCATCTTCTGCTTTCATATCAGCTCCAGAGGATTGTTGAGAATCTTTTTCAGTGGCATCAGACTTCTCCACTTGCTTGCGCTTCCTTATTATCAGTCCAGGAGCTGCATTTTCAATTACAGAGTCAGCAGTCAACTGTGTAACATCTGGTTTTTCCAAAATTTTATTCCTGTCTTTGTAGTCAACAAATTGATCATTTTCTTGAAGTTCTGTCGGTCGTTCAATAATTGTCTCTTGTTTTTTCTTTTCCTCTACAGCACCAAGCCATTGGGGCTTACTAGCAGTATATACAACATGTTTACCATCAGATATATCAGCGCCAATCTCCTTCTCTGTTTTTTTACCATCAGATATATCAGCGGCGATCTCCTTCGCTGTTTCTTGACTCGATGTACAGTTTGCATCAACAGTACCCTGTTTCTCCATTAAGTCCTTAGGTTCTACTCTGTCTTTTTTGTTCTTTTCTGGTGGCGGCTGCTCATGGACACTCAGTGTGATGGTTTTGGTCAAATTGGTATTTGGTTCTTGTACTTTCAGATCCCTTTTTTTAGCAGCCTCACCACTAGGATCAGCAATCTTTAGCAAGTAGAGTACCCTGTCCAACTCTGACTGAAGGGTGGAGAGTTCCTTATGAAGCTTTTCCTTCTTCTCATGAGCTGGGATCAGATACAAAAAGCCCATGTTAAATTCTAACAAACATCTATTTCAACGAAGAAACCTGAATGCAATTCATGGGATACCCATCCTTTCATTGTGAGCAATGGTTCTTGCTTATTTTAATGCACATACATAAAAAATATGCGCAGCTAAAAATATGCAATTCCAGCTACTCCATTCAGCAGATATGCATGTTGAAAGATGAATAAAAGCTATTCAATCACATTTCTTTTTGTTAAATGCTAAATCATATTCCTAAATTAAGCATATCACACACAAAAACTTGTCAAGAATTTAATAGTACCAATCATTAGATATACTACCATGATGAACAGAAGAGACAAGTAAAGGATTAGTGCATGATAAGATACCACAAGATACTCCACAAGCTTCGAACCATTTAAGTGAAATCTCAAATTTATAGGAACCTTAAAAAGAAACCTAAATAATACCTCCAATGTGATAAGACAAAAATGTTAGAAAACCAAGACAATTTAGGAGTTTAATAAAAGAAATATGCACCTAGCTGCGAGGAAAGCCCAGACATGTAAGCATCCAGTTCATCTCCAGCTTCAACCTCACATTCCTGACCTGTACCATCTTTTTCATCTAGAAGCAATCTTCTCTTGTCGTCCATCTGCCTGACAATAGTATCCTTCTTATCAAGAAGAGAATCAGCTGTCTCAATTGACTGATTTTCACCACTTTTTCTCTTCGAAGGCTTCTGTGTCCGATCATAGAACTCATCCTCCTCACTGTGTGTAAAGAAATTCAAAGTTCACCTTGTTAATGTGCTAGCTAACTCTACTCGCTAATGACAATCCCAAATATAGTACTACATCCAACCTTATTTAGATCATTTCAAGCAACAAGTACTGCAGAAAGCGTTTACCAAATAAAGTTTGTTGAAATTATTGAAGGTCTGCAAATAACGTGCTAACCTCGTACTTGAATTTTATTCCTGTCTTTGTAGTCAACAATCCCAAGAGTGGTACTAAATCCAAGTTTACAAAGATCATTTCAAGCAACACGCACTACATAAAGCATTACCACACAATGAAGTTTGTCAAAACAATCGAAGATCTGCAAATTATGTACCTCGAAATCTCTTCTTCTTCAGGCGCCTTTTCCTTTCCACGGGATGTCATTCCAGTACGTGCACCGAGACTTTCAAGTATACTCTCATTTAAAGTCTCTTCCAAGTTTTCAAGCTCTTCCATTAGCTGAAAGAATTTTGAGCACACGGATTAAAGGAATTGCCTTAGCTACCTTAAGAAATTGCTAGGTCAAAAACACTAGAGTTAAATGAACATGTGATATACATCGCCAAAGAGAATAAAAAATAGGAGTACTAAGGTCAAAAATAGAGAGAAAATGAGGAGGAGCTATCAACCTCTGATATCCTCTGTTCATTACGAGCGATTTGAGTTTGCTGTCCCTGTGTCAATCCACCTTGAGCAATATCCTTAGCCCGAATAGCATCTATCTCTTTTTTCATATGAGCAATCTGAAACCAAAGGAGTTATAATAAGAAGAGCATAAAATTGCAATGGATTAGCTTCCTGAAGATGTCCTAATGATGGGCTCCATCAGTCCCAATTTATATGACTACGACAAAAAGTAATTGACATCATTCCAATCCACTAATAACATTATCTTATACAACTTGCACAAATTTCAATAATTCAAATACATTTAACTAATCAAATATGAACTTTGATGTCATGTTCTCATTAAACTAACTTTTCAACCCATACTTCAATATTGCTTACTACCTTTTATTTTTAATAATAGTGGTGTCTACGTAAACTTTTGCGCACCTCAATTATTCTGTTAGAGTAGTTATGTGAATATATGTAATAGGAGTAAGTTATGTGTTATGTATACATATAAATAGGGCTTATTGTAACATAGAAAAATAAGCAATAATATATATTTTCTCCCGTACTTTCTCACATGGTATCAGAGCATTAGTGAGAAAAGATCGTTGTGCGTCCTTCCAGCGACATCGTGGAAGAAATAACTCAGTCACCGTGCAATTTTCCGGTGACCTAAGCGACTGATTTGTGTCATCTCACATTTGGTGAGTGTTGTGCACAAACGAACACCACCATTAGACTCAGAAACCTCCGGCAACCAAACCCCAAAAAGATTCTCCGGCAACAGACGCCCCACGCGCCACCCAGATCTGCGATTCCGCCGGCGCGTCTGTCAAACGCGCCGGCGCGTGCTTCTCCGGCCAATTTTTGGCCAAGCTTCCTCAAGACAGCCTGGTCGCATAGAATTTCCGAGTCCATCAGTACTATTTCCGACAGATTCCAACAACTTTGGAATTTTCCGCGCGAGCTACAGTGTTTCCGGAGTAAAATGGTGCTCCTTTTCTCTGCTATGAACAGTGTTTTCCCAGATTATATCTTCAGTTTTCAAAAAGGTTACTGATTTTCACTATTTCAAGTTAACCCTACAACTTTTAGTCAAGAATTTGAGAAATTAATTGTAGCAACATGGGATCTAATACTATGAATAGTTGGATGGTTTCTTTACCAGATTATATTGAGTTCCTTAAGTATAAAGCTTGTAAACAGACATCTTCAGAGACAGATTCCGTCGTTCAAACATGTAATAGCGTGACTTGTGTCTCTCAGTCTTCATCCTCCGATTCTTGGATCATTGATTCAGGTTCATCTGATCATATTTCTGGTAACAAATCTCTTTTCACTAGTATTTCGTATTCTCAATCTCTTCCAACAATCACAATGGCCAATGTGTCTCAAACCATGGCAACTGCAATAGGTCAAGCAAGCCCACTTCCTTCCTTACCGTTAGATTCAGTTCTTTATGTTCCAAGTAGTCCTTTTTTTTGATAATGTAACATGTATATTTGTATTAATCAATCTTCAGCACAAAGGAAGTGCTGGAAGCCAAAAGAAAGAGTTTACAAAAGCCTACAAGCTCCCTATTACAATCATTGCTCTTCTTACAAGGAATCTAGGACCTGTAGAATTGACTCTAAGTCGTCACTATATTCTGCTTTACACCAAAAACAAAAAAGAAGAATACAATTCATCTTGATTTTCTGAATAGAACTAGTTGAATCCTCAAAACATCTTGCGTTCCTCTCCTTCCATATTGTCCACCAAATAGTTGCAGGGACAATTTTCCATCTGTCTTTGTTGGAAGCAGTGCACTTCCCCCCTTCATTCCAGCTTGGCAATAGTTCAGGTGTTCTTCCTGGCATTGACCATCTAATGCCTCTGAGGTTGATGAATAAGTCCCACAACTGACTAGTCACTCTACAATGTAGAAACAGATGGTTGATTGTCTCTACCTCTTGGCCACATAAGTAACACCTCGAGCAGATTGACATTCCCCTTCTCCTCAGGTTATCATGTGTTAAAACTGCTTCTCTAACTACCAGCCAAGAAAAACATGCCACTTTGTATGGTATCTTGACTTTCCATATGTGTTTCCAAGGCCATAGATTGACTTGTCCACTATCTTGGTTTAGAGGCTGAGCTGACTGTGTACACCCCACTGCTGTTTTGGCTCCAACTAAGTATATCATCTCCCTCCTGCAGT